CTCGTGACCTTGGGCTCGCTGGCCTCGATGGGCCTTATTTCTTCCCCCGCCAGACAGTACTACGCCCCTCAGAGGAGTGTTGAGTGGTTAAATAATGAAATTATTTGAAGGGCTTGGCTGTTGAGATTTTCCCCAAATGTTTGTAAGGTGGCAACATCAGTATTCTCCTGGCCAAAAATTAATGCCTTTGCACATTTGGGCGGTCCAAAGCACCATGCTTTTAGACCAAAATCTCAATCTCCCCACCATTCGAGACTCAGCAACGTGGCTCCTATCTGTTCTGCCAAAGGCTCCAATATAAATTTAAGAGGTACAAATCTCAGTTACAACAGTGGGCACTCTGCCCCCAGGGCCCCCACTGGCTTGAGAGGCACACAGTATAGACTCAGTTAATTACTGTCGTGCCTTCCCCATGGCCATGTGCAGCCGGGCGCCCGCTGGGAAGTCCCGGGTTACTTTTGATCTACGGGAACTGGCTTGGCTGCCTACTTCATTTTTCACCATCTGTCAGCACTTCACAGCCCTTGAGTTAAATGAGGTGATTTGCTAAGTGCCTGGCACTTAGTAAGCTCTCAATAAAACAATGCACGCAGGCGGCTGTTATTAATTCTTCATAGGACTTGTAAAGATGAAAAGGATTCGCATGGGAGACAATGCGTTGTGAACGGCAAAGCAGATCGGTTTTAGTTCTCAGGCACTTCGAATCTCGTGTGCACAGCACGGACATGCAGTCTCCGATGCTTTGAGCAAAGCAGGTCAAACAGATGGAAAGGATGCCGCTGGGGACCTGGGATGTTTCCCTGCCTCTCTCGTAAACGCAGGCCCTGAAGGAGGGGACTGTGGACGAACCCTCCTAGACGGTCTGAGTTATAAATCCCAGCTCCACAGGAAGGGTGAGGATGGTCACGATATAGTCCTGCCAGGACTTACGTAGATGGCACCTGCCCAATGCTTCCAGCGGGAACAAAGGAAAGCAGCCTTTACTGAGTCCCCGGGAGTGAGGGCGGTGGCTGTGGCTCATGACCCCTTTCTTCTCTGCCCTTCTTGGCCTTTGAGATGCCCCGTCTTCATCTACACACTGTCTTTATTCCTGTGCCAAGCCTGCGGCTCCCGGCAGGACACCCAGCTCTGGCCCCTTCCTCTCCTGAGATCTGCCCACTGGGCCGGTGAGCTTCCGCTTCCAGGCAGAAAAAAGTGATCCAACCAAATTTTCCTGCCCATTGAAAGAAATTGCAATTCCTTTAACTCATTGCCCGGAGGCTCTTTCTGACATTCTGGTCCTTTTTCCTTAGGCCTGGAGAATGTTTTCTAAATCTTTTAGACTCCTCTCATTTAGAACTCCAGAAAAGAAATGCAAGGGTATCGTCCCCGACCCCTCCCACGCATGGCCTCCTGTCCACAGCCCCTTCGTGCCTCGGAGGCTGTGCCAGCTCTGGCTCGGGTGTGCGGGAGCCTGAGTGAGGACAGCTCCGGCCTCGTTTGCCCATCTTCTCCAGTCTCCATCCGCGCCCCGGGTCCTCGCCTCCTCCCGGGCCCGCCTCTCTCTTTCCACCTGAGCTTTGCGGCTGCGCTCTTCCTGCCTTCACTTCTCCGTCCTTTGTCCTCTGCGTCCGACCCTAACGACCTCTGCCCCGAATGACCGTCATCGTGAATGCCCCGTCCTTCATCGCCTCAACCTTCCCGGCAGACTTTGTTGGAACGTGTGCGGAGGGCTGAGCGGAGCGGTGGGCGGACGACCTTGTGTTGAGTCTGGGCGTGGGGTCGGCTGTCATGGTCGCTGGGCTGGGCTCCCTGCTGACGTGGAGCTGCCCGGAGAGGCGTTTCCGGAGTGGTGTCCTTGGAACTCCTGGTGCTCAGGCACACCTCCCGTCAGTGGAAATTCCCCGCCACCCGGGACGGTGGGATCAGATGAGTCTGTGTGCTGTTTCCCTCAGACACGTGACCCCATGGAAGGCTCTGGAAAGTCCCACACGGGAGAAGCCTGTTTACTTTGACTCGGACTCCCTATAAGGAGACTGTCGCCCTGGCCAGGTGGGAGAGCTCCCCTTACCTCAGGTCTCCTTCTAGTCACTGTTTTTGCCAGAAAGTTCTTCCCTGTGTTGGCTACACAGACAGAGCCCAGCGCTTGGCTGTCCTTTGGGGATGTTCCCGGGACATTTAAATGCATAATCTGAAGACAGCTCTCTGCTTCCTGGGGCCAATAGTAATCCAGGTACCTCCCACGCTCATCCTCGCTCTGGGTCTTAAAGTCCATTCACCACCTGAGGTGTCCCCACTGACCAGGCCTGTGTCCCCTGACGTGTGGGGCGAGCTGCAGTAGAGCAGACTATCATGGGACGGGGAGGACAGCTGTCCCCCGCATCCGGGAGTCAGAACTTTCTGTTCATGTCACGGTTCCACCTGCTGTGGGTCTGGCAGCCCCTAGGCTCACCGGAGTGCCGCAGACCTCCGCCTTGGTCACGCGTGCCGCCCCTCTCCTTCCCTCAACACCAGGGCTGGGAAAGTCGGTTTGGGGGACTCGGTTTCAGGACCTCGCCATTTTTTTTTTTTCCCCAATTGTGGTAAGATGTATAGAACACAAACTTAACTATTACAAGCATTTTTAAGTGTGCAGTTCGGTGGCATCGTGTACATTCATATCATCGTGCGACCATCACCGCCGCCCGTCTCCATAACTCTTTTCCTCCTGTAAAACTGAAGCTGGGAATGAAGACAATTAAATAATAAGTCCCCCCACCCCACCCCACCGTTCCACTTTCTGCTCCTGTGGATTTGACTGTTCTAGGTCCCCCACATAAGTAGAATTGTACAGTATCTACTCGCGTTGTAGCACGTGTCAGAACTTCCTTCCTTTTTCGGGCTGAATAGTACTCCACGGTGTATACATTTCGTTTACCCATTTATTTGTCAGTGGACATTTGTGGGGTGTGCACCTTTGGCTATTGTGAATAATGCTGCTGTGAACATGGTGCACCAATATCAGTTCGAGCCCCTATTTTCAGTTATTCAAAGTATTATTTTACCTGTCTTTTCCCTGAGGATCCTCAGAGTCGCCAGCAGACATCCAGGGGTCTCGTCTGCAGCCTTTAGCACCTGGCAGTGGGATTCTTCCAGGCACGGAGGCAGCGCCCAGTGCTGCTTGAGTTAGAAAGTGCCATGCAGAGGGTGGTGGTGTCAGTCGAGCACCAGGGGAGGAGGGACAGCGGGTGCTGTTGGAGGTCAGAGGAGGAAGGGGGCAGCTCCCCGAGCTCTGGGGTACAGAAAAGCCACCAAAGAGTGAGGGGCGGGTGGGCGGTTCATTCTGGGTAGGAGGGATGGCATGAGTCAGCCACTGCGGTTGGAACAGTGTGCATCGGGGAGTGTGGCCTCATCTGCAGCCCAACCACGTGGGCCTCAAAATACCACCGGCCCACAGACTTAGATTTCTGGTTGCCTACGGGCTGCATTTCTTGGTGGGTGGCGGTGTGGTCCCCAGCAACAGTGGGCTTTTGTTGTTAGGTCAGGAGGAAGCGGGGTGGAGGGCGGTGTTATAGATAATGGGAAAAAAAATGGATTTGTTTGCTTACTTAATTTTTTAAAGTTGTAAAAGACACATAAAACTTACCGTCTTAACTATTACGTGTACGTTCACACTCTGGTGTGACCGTCACCACCATCCGCCTCCAGAACCTTTTCTCATCCCAAACTGGAGCTCTAGCCCGTTAAATAGTAACCTCCCATCCCCCTGTTACCTCGCGGTCCCTGGTACCCCGTGCTACTTTCTGTCCGAATTCTAGATGCTTCTTATCAGTGGACTTTTGCAGTATTTGTCCTTTTGTGTCTGGCTCATCAACCCTAGCATAATGTTGTCAAGGTTCACCCATGTTAGCATGTATTGAAACTTGGTTCTTTTCTATTGCGAGTAATAGTCTATTCTATAAACATGCCACATCCCGTCGTATGTATATACCGCATTTTGTTTATTCCTTCATCCATCAATGGACCCTTGGGTTGTTTCCAGTTTTCGGTCGTTATGGACAGATTTGTTTTTTAAAGCAAGATGTTCATGCCTGAGCAGCAAGGGGTCTCTGGGTAGCAGAAAATAAGATGCACTTGAGGGAGGGAGACCAGGGAGTCCGAGAAAACCCGGGAACAGCCCAAATGTGTAGAGAAGCGGGGGTGGACCGGTCAGGATGGAAGAAGGCTGTAGACGATCTGACTGGGCTGACCCAGGCATTCGGGAGTAGAGGCCAGGGCTGAGATCCCCCCGCATGGCAAGGCTGGCTCTGTTTCCCAGCAGGATGATAGGGTGCCTGGAGGGCCAGCCAGCAGAGGTGCTGGTTCTGGGGTTGAAACTCAGCCGAGAGAGCAGGGCTGGGACCCCTCTAGGCTGTCACTCACACACATGTGACCGTTCGGGCCTGGAGACTAGATGAATGAGCCAGAGGACAAAGCATCGGGGCCAGGCCTGGTTCACAGCGTCGTGCGAGGGCGGGAAGCAGAGACGTGAGGCCGGAGGATGAGGGGGAGTCGGTGGACACGAGGGTGGAGAGACCCAAGGCAGGGCTCCCGGAATCGCTGCCACGCTCCATGCGAATGGAGTAGGTGCTCGTGGCGCGTTTCTACAGCTCCTTTGTGGTCTAGCTTCAGGAGGCTCAGTCGATAATTATTGACCAAAACTGGGAGAAATAAAGGTAAACAGGCATGTCTTTTCATCCTCAAGAAACTATGACTTAGTTAAGGAGGCACAGCATGAAAACAGACTCGCAGTGCAAGGTCAACCTGCAGTCGGACTGTGCCGAGCCCACGGGTGTTTTGAGGAGAGGAGGGTCCCCTCCGGTGAGGAGGGTCCCCTCCGGTGTGGTGATCCGGGCGGGAGCTGCAAAACACGAGGCATTTGAGAAGTTTTTCAATCAATCACGCCGAAATAATCACACAGAGAGATTACTGAGAGAATAACATGTGTCCTTCCGTCCTGGCCATGGTCATCCGTGATCGGTGCCCTGCCTTTGACTCCGCAGATATGACGCCGGACGGGACGGCTTCATCGACCTCATGGAGCTGAAGCTGATGATGGAGAAGCTGGGGGCCCCGCAGACCCACCTGGGCCTGAAGAGCATGATCAAGGAGGTGGACGAGGACTTCGATGGCAAGCTCAGCTTCCGCGAGGTACCTGCGACCTGCCACCCGGGCCTGGAGGGGGCGTGGCCCTGAGGGGACCTCGAATTCATAGTGCCCTGGAGGACGCATGGCTTGACGCCTCTCTGGAGGGCTGTTTAGATACGTAACCTACAGTTCCGCTTTTAAATATAATTCAAGAAGCTAGTGAACCTCATTGCTGGCTGGAAAAAATGCTCAGAACGATTGAACGTCAGCGTGGGTAGAATAGCCTCGTTTGGGTAAAATGGCATCCATATTGCCAGCTCTGGAGGGTGCTCATCTAAATATTCACAGTGCATATTCGTGGGTGCAAAGTTGTGGTGGCTTTGTAATTTTATACTTTTTAATACATTAAAACTTTTAGTATTTATAATGAGCGTTTTAAAATAGTAAGAAAAGCAGCTAAACAAAGGGTCTTACTTTGTGCCCAGGGTCACCCCCACACCCAAATAGTCAAAGAATGGGCTTTTTGGCCTTTGAACCCCTAAAACAGCAGGCAAAATTTTGTTGGAAGAGTACATGTAGATTCGCTGGCTGATCCCCTGTGGGGGACAGCCTTGGTGATCAGGCCGTTCCTATTTGGGGGGCGAAAGCCATTAGGTTTCTTCCACGCTAAGGACCTATTCCCCCAAGGAGAGAATGCCACGGCTTGTGCGTGTGAGTTGTATCACAGGGCCTGTAGGTGTGTCGGTGTGGCCCGGCATTAGAATGTTTGGTGGCAACATCTGGGCTGAAGGCCGGCAGCGTTAGCCTGGCTGCTGCAGTCTGTTCTCAGCGGTGTCTCAGCTGAGCCGGGACTAGAGAGGGCTGTCTTCGCTTCCTGGTGTTGACCCTTGGTTATTCCAGAAACAGGGCAGCGCCGGCGTCCTGGTTTCTGGTGGCGAGACTTTGGCCGAGTACCGGTCTCCTGTCCAGGCTAGATAGGGCCTGGGATGCTCTCCCTGAAGCCTCTGTCACTGACTGGCGGCTACGAGTCACCTGCTCTCCCTGAAGCCTCTGTCACTGACTGGCGGCTATGAGTCCCTCAGCTGCGATGACGCTGGTCTTGTCCCTCACTGCCCACATATCATCTCCAGTCCTGATCTAGTAGATGCAAAGATGGAGGGACACGGGAAACCTGTGCTGGGCGTGACCCTCAGGGTCATCGAGCTCAGCCTTTTTACTTCAGAGCTAGGAGCTGGAGTGCCGGCGAGGTCAGCGTTTCCCTGACGTCAGGCCCGAGCTCAGGGCTGGGCCTGGATCGCGGCCGCCTCGCTCGCCTTCCCCGCTGCCCTTCTGGCTCCTTCATATTTGGTTCCTTCATGTCATCGTGCGTCATGCCGGGCACTGACTCTTTCTAACCCAGGTGACCCCGGGGTGTAGAGGGTAAAGCTTTTGCCTTGATGAAGCTTCGGAGGCCGTGCTGGGGAAAGAGCTTCTGTGACAAAGTGGTGATCTCTGGGGAACAGAAGTCGAGAGCGTGTCAGGAGGTCTGTGCGGCTCAGTCATCAACTGAGCCGAGACACAGTCCCTCACCCGCGTTTTCCCCCGGGGCTCTGCACAGAGCCGCGTAGCTTCAGCGCCGTGTTCCACCTTCTGAGCCTCAATTTTTCTGTCTTAAAATGAGGGTGTGAATAGCTTTCCCTCAGGACCGTTGCGAGAACTAAGTACTCTTTCTCCACCTGTATCAGTTAGGACTCTTGGTCGTAAGGGACAGAGAATGCCACCCAACGTAAATGAGAAAGAAATAGCTATTGGCCCATGTACCTGCGACATGAAGAAGGAGAAGTGTGCTTCGGACACAAATCATCCATATCTCGATGGTGCTTTCTTCTGTGTCCGCCTCACCTTCTCCTCCTACATAGGGTGTTGTCCCCAGGGCCTGCAAGATGGCTGACAGCAGCACCACATTACAGTGCCTCGGTTTATCGACCCTCGTGGATAGAGAGCTTCTTTATCTCTGAGTTTGTACCAGTCCCAGAGGAAGGCCTCTGACCGGCCCTACTGGGGACACACGCCCTCCTCCTGGGCCCGTCGTTGAGGTCAGGGTACCGTGACTGTACGCCCAGGTCACGCGCCCCAGGACGCCGCGGCGCGTGGCGGGGC